ATAATCTGGAGTCCCATGCCCCTCTCCTCCCCACAGACACGCAGCATCTGAGGGCTCCTGAGGGCAACTGAGCCTGTGATCCCAGCTTTAAGCAAAGGATTCACAGAAATCTATATTTACAAAGCTAATTCATCAGGTGATCCTTATTTTTACAGATTGTTTCCACTGAATTTTTTTTTCCTTACACTGAGCTTTTCTGGTCTACGTAAGATCACATTCACCTCTTTAAAATTCATTTCCTCATGCGTTTCTGGCAGCACACTGATTTCAGTTGCAAGGCCGGAATTCCTGTGAAGTCTCTGATGGAGTGGGTGGGGTGGGGTTGGTGAGGGAATGAGTCTGTGGCTCACTTGGGGTACCCCCACGCCACCTCCCCACCTCAGACCTCACTGCCTGCCATCTGCCACGAAGAATGCCCTCTCCTTGTATCCAGCCTGCTCCACTCGCTCCGGACTGGCCAGACTGGTGGGCTGCTGTGCCTCAGCCCTGGCCTCTTCCTGGCTCAGGATCCCACCTCATCTCAGGGGCTGGAGGTTGGCTCCACTGACAGCACCTTCATGTCTCTGATCCAGATCCCTATGGGGCTCAGCATCGCGGTCTGTGTCCGAGTGGGGACAGCTCTGGGAGCTTCAGACAGTGTGCGAGCAAAGCGGTCGGCCATCTCGGGCGTGCTCTGCGTAGGTGGGTGGGAGCACTCTCCTCATGAAGACACTGGCATGAGTGAGTCAATGGCCTGGTCAGAGGAGGGCCTGGCACGTTGGGGTCTAGAAGAGCCAACTGGTTTACCTTCCAAACCTGCCATACCTGCCATCCAACCCAGAGCAGCCCCCACTGATGGGAAGTTGACAGCTGCCCCTCTCCCAGGGCTCTTGGCCCCAGAAGGCAGCCCCAAACGTGTCTCTCCTACTTGCCTTGTCCCCTCCCCACTACTTCCCTGTTGCTGGGACTCTTGGACTCTCCTGGAGACAACCTGTCAGTTTAGCTTCCTACCACTCACCATAGACAAAACCACGACTCTTTGAAGGTCCTTCCTCCCCAGGGTTCACCCTCCAGCTGTCCAAGTCTGCCTTCCCAGCATGCCTATGAGCTTGGAACCTGCCCATCCCACCCATCAGAATGAATCTGTGATCCCCAACCCAATGGCTCTGCTCCTGAGACTAAGAGATTCAGACAAGCTCGTCTGTGTAGAGCAGTGGTTCTCAAGTGTCAGCCTGCATGGAATCGCCTGGAGGGCTTGTGAAAACAGATTGCCGGGCCTCACCCAGCCGAGTTCTGATTTAATAGGTTGGACACTCATCTGAAAATTTGAATTTCTAACAAGTCATCAGGTGATGCTGATGGTACTGGTGTAGGGACTACCCTTTGAGAACCACTGCAGTAAAGACATTTTACATGTTGGCTTCCTAGGTGATCGCAAAACAGTATGTGTCTTCATCTGCGTGAAAGACTAATGGTTTCGGTGCTGCGACCAAAGCTCCTCAGTGTAGAGAGTTGGGAGATTTGCACTGATTTATCTGATCTAAGCTGGGGTCCTCCTCGGCTTGGGTTCTGTCACCGCTGTTCCTTTTGTCTCTTCCAGTTGGCAATTCCCTCATCGTGGGCACCCTGTTGAGCATCCTGAAAAATAAACTGGGGCATATTTTTACCAATGATGAGTAGGTAATCAGTTTCCTTCACTGACTCCTGGAAAATGTCGGTGTGGTTCCCAGCTGGTCCTCAGAGACTTGTTACGTGCTTGGCTGGGTGTTGGGTCTACAGGAAGCAGGAAGAGCACAGACTTTGCTCTCACCGGGAGGAGACCAACATCTTGAGGGCCCTGGGTGGTGCACCCACCCTGTGCTTGTTCACCCAAGCCCCGTCCTCCACGATTTGCTTGTCCATGGACAAGATGCTAATTTAAGGGCAGTAGAAAAATTGTGTGTGTGTGCGGTGGGGGAGGGGGGTCTTCTGGAGTTTAATATGTGGCTCATAGATGTTTAGAAAACTCAGGCCTGTAGGTGTCACTTATGTTTGCATGGGGAAATGACCTCTATTACAAAAATACGGGGTGAGAATAAAAACCAGTTACCATCAAGTCGATTCCAACTCATGGCGACCCCATGCGTGTCAGAGTGGAGCTGTGCTCCATAGGGTTTTCAGTGGCTGATTTTTCAGAAGTAGACTGTCAGGCATTTCTTCTGAGGCATCTCTGGGTGGACCTGAACTTCCACCCTTTTAGTTAGCAGCTAGCACGTTAACTGTTTGCACCACCCAGGACTCCTGGGAGAGAACAGAAGGCACATAAATGTGTATCTAAAGATAGAGTCTTTTCTTAGCGCTTCAAGTGAGTGTCCTTTCCCACTTCTTCTGCAGAGAAGTCATTGCCCTGGTGAACCAGGTCTTGCCGATTTACATCATCTTTCAGCTCTTTGAAGCCGTCTGTGTGAGTACCGCTCTGATCCAAAGCCTGGCCCCAAAGCGCATGGGTCTGTGTTCACCTGCTGAACCCTTCCTGAGACCTCAGAGAGTTTTTTGTGAGGATTAATGAGTTAATACATGTAAAGGCTAACTGTAGAATAGACAAACCTATTTGCTGTTATTGGTCCTATTGTTATTCAAAGCAATGGCTCCCTTCGTCTTCTGAAACTCCAACAAGCCCCAAAAAATCAATCAAGATTAGCATAAAAGTGCGAAATTGCACGAGTGTACAATCACAAACCTTTTCCTTCTTGATTACTCAAAAGCTGAGGCCACAGGAACTGACCCGTGCCCCAGACTGGTCAGGAGCTCAACAACAACCAGAAGAGAGGGACTTTTCTGAGAATGAATATGTGAATGCCAAGGGATCTAAATATTCTGCTCATTTGATCACTAAAGTTCAAGTTGCTGGTGAGTTAATCCTCTGCACCACCGAGGGACTCCCAATAAAGTTGTTGTTAGGTTCCTTCCAGTAGGTTCCGACTCATAGCGAACAAACCACTGCCCAGTCCTGTGCCATCCTCACAATCGTTGCTATGTTTGAGACCCTCGTTGCAGCCACTGTGTCAATCTATCTCGTTGAGGGTCTTCCGCTTTTTCGATGACCCTCTCTACTTTACCAAGCACAATGTCCTTCTCCAAGGACTGGTCCCTCCTGATAACACGACCAAATTACGTGAGACGAAGTCTCTCCATCCTCGCTTCTAAGGAGCATTCTGGCTATACATCTTCCAAGACTGATTTGTTCCTTCTTCTGGCAGTCCATGATATAATCAATATTCTTTGTCAGCACCAGAATTCAAATGCATCAATACTTCTTCGGTCTTCCTGATTAACTGTCTAGTTTTCACAAGCATATGAGGTAACTGAAAACACCATGGCTTGGGTCAGGCCCACCTTAGTTCTCAAAGTGACGTCTTTGCTCTTTCACACTTAAAAAGGTCTTTTGCAGCAGATTTGCCCAATGCAGTGTGTCGTTTGATTTAATGCAAATTTAAATTATGTGGATTTTTCAAAAGCACGACATAAAAACACACAACACTAATGTCTAACTTTACAAGCAGAATTTGAAATCTTATGACTCCTACTTTAGTTACGTGAATTTTACAGGAATGCATCAAGGGATGCCTAAAATCCAACAGCTCTGTATAGGGATGTGCCCTTAATTAGCAACACCAAACTACTGCACTCCAGGCCTTTCTTTGCAGGGGTAGGGGTTGGGGGCGGGATGTACAATAATTGTTATCAACTCATATAAAAATACCCTGTTGAGAGAAATGTTATTTATGAAGGATTTTTCCAAAGCACTCTAGGAATGCCATCCAGTTCTCTAAATATTCTAGGATTTACCTTTGAATCAAACTGAACATCCAGAAAGCAATGTTGGGCCACATGTTCTTAGCCTCAGCAGAATGGCTTTCTCTAGGCTATGTTTTGGTATCATATTCATAGTTTTTGTCAAGGAACACTAAAAGAAATTACTTTATAGAGCCCATTATTGCATTTGTCATAAGATATTGTTAAGGACACTATTCGTGTTTTTTTGTAGCTCCAAGGTGAAACCATAATTGAGAAATTGCTTTTATAATTGAAGACTGAAAATAGCTTTGCGTTTCTCAAGGAATTAAATATGGCTTCCCCTCCAGTGGGAGCAGTGGTGGTTCGGTGGTAGAATTCTCACCTTCCGTGTGGGAGACCCGGGTTCAATTCCCGACCAATGCACCTCATGTGCAGCCATCACCTGTCTGTCAGTGGAGGCTTGTGTGTTGCTATGATGCTGAACAGGTTTCTGCAGAGATCCAGACTAAGATGGAGTAGGAAGAAAGGCCTGGCGATCTACTTCCAAGAATCACCCAATGAAAACCCTGTGGATTACAAGGGTCCAATCCACAGCCAATGATGGGGATGGTGCAGGACCGGGTAGCAATTGTATGGGGCCTTGTGGCTTCCCTATCTCCATTCTGTCATTTTTCCTCACAGCTATTCTATTTGATTCTTAATTTGTTTTCCATGAACCTTATTTTTATTTCATAGTTTTATAGCTTTATTCAGGTATAATTTACGTGTCATGAAATTCATGCATTTTAAGTGTACAATACAATTATTTTGAATAAATCCAGTCTTGGGCAACCATTGTCACAATCCAGTTTCAGAATACTTCCATCACCCTCAAAATTTCCTGGAGCCTGTTTTGTAGTCAATCCCTGCTGCCACCCCAGCCTCAGGCAACCACTGATTTGCTTTCTGTCTGTATGAATTTGCCTTTTCCTAATATTTTATATAAATGGAATCATACAACATGTAGTCTTTTGTGTCTGCCTTCCTTCATTTGGGATAATATGTATTTTTTAATTTTATTGTGCTTTAGGTAAAAGTTTACAGCTCAGGTTAGTTCTCATTATTTTGTGACATTGGTTGCAATCCCCACAATGGTACAGCACGCTCCCCCTTTTCCACCCCGGGTTCCCTCTGTCCATTTGTCCAGTTCCTGTCCCTTCCTGGCTTCTTGTCTTGCTTTTAGGCAGGAGTTGCCCGTTCGGTCTAGTATATTTGATTGAACTAAGAGGCACATTCCTCACGTGTGTTATTGTTTGTTTTATAGGCCTGTCTAACCTTTATCTGAAAAGCGGGATTCGAGAGTGGTTTCAGTTCTGAGTTAGCAGAGTGTCCGGGGGCCATAGTCTCCGGGGTTCCTCCAGTCTCTGTCAGACTAGTAAGTCTGGTCTTTCTTCCTGAATTTGCATTCTGTTCTACATTTTCCTCCCGTTCTGTCCAGGATTCTCTTGTGATCCCTGTCAGAGCGGTCGGTGGTGGT